CGTGGCAAGTCCTCGACACCAAAAGGGGTGCGCAAGGGGTGGTCCCCCTATCCGTTTCGGGCTCGGAAAGCGTGGCAGGCGTGGCACTTCCCCGACACCAGAGGGGGTGCGCAGGGGTTGTTATCCCTGCCCGCTTCGGGCTCGGAAAGCGTGGCAGGAAAGGCACTTCCTCGACACCAGAGGGGGTGCGCAGGGGGTGGTCCCCCTATCCGTTTCGGGCTCGGAAAGCGTGGCAAGCGTGGCCCTTCCTCGACACCGCAGGGGGTGCGCTGGGGGTGGTCCCCTCTATCCGTTTCGGGCTCGGAAAGCGTGGCAGGCGTGGCACTTCCCCGACAACAGAAGGGGGTGCGCAAGGGGTGGTCCCCCTTATCTGTTTCGGGCCCAGAAAGCGTGGCAGGCGTGGCACTTCCTCTGCACCAGAAGGGGGTGCGCAAGGGGTGGTCCCCCTATCCGTTTCGGGCTCGGAAAGCGCGGCAGGCGTAGCACTTCCTCGACACCAGAGGGGGTGCGCAGGGGGTGGTATCCCTATCCGTTTCGGGCTCGGAAAGCGTGGCAGGCGTGGCACGTCCTCGACACCAGAGGGGGTGCGCAGGGGGTGGTCCCCCTATCCGTTTCGGCCTCGGAAGGCGTGGCAGGCGTGGCACTTCCCCGACACCACAATGCGTGCGCTGGGGGTGGTCTCCCTGCTCGTTTCGGGCTCGGAAAGCGTGGCAGGCGTGGCACTTCCTCGACACCAGAAGGGGGTGCGCAAGGGGTGGTCCCCCTATCCGTTTCGGGCTCGGAAAGCGTGGCAAGCGTGGCACTTCCTCGACACCAGAAGGGGGTGCGCAAGGGGTGGTCCCCCTATCCGTTTCGGGCTCGGAAAGCGTGGCAGGCGTGGCACTTCCTCGACACCAGAAGGGGGTGCGCAGGGGATGGTCCCCCTATCCGTTTCGGGCTCGGAAAGCGTGGCAGTCGTGGCACGTCCTCGACACCAGAGGGGGTGCGCAAAGGGTGGTCCCCCTATCCGTTCCGGGCTCGGAAAGCGTGGCAGGCGTGGCACTTCCTCGACACCAGAGGGGGTGCGCTGGGTGTGGTCCCCCTATCCGTTTCGGGTTCGCAACGGTGTCGGCGGGGCAACGACCACCAGCATCTGGCTTGTTGCGCTGGCTGGCTGGCTTGCGTGGCTCGTGGTGGTGGCGCTGATCTGGTAGCGACGACGACGACGACGACGACGACGACGACGACGACGACGGCGACGACGGCGACGACGGCGACGACGACGGCGACGATGACGGCGGCGAGGACGACGACGACGACGACGACGACGACGATCCCCTGGCGCCGCGCACATCATCATCAGCATCAGCATAGTAATAGTAGTAGTAGTAGTAGTAGTAGTAGTAGTAGTAGTAGTAGTAGTAGTAGTAGTAGTAGTAGTAGTAGTAGTAGTAGTAGTAGTAGTAGTAGTAGTAGTAGTAGTAGTAGTAGTAGTAGTAGTAGTAGTAGTAGTAGTAGTAGTAGTAGTAGTAGTAGTAGTAGTAGTAGTAGTAGTAGTAGTAGTAGTAGTAGTAGTAGTAGTAGTAGTAGTAGTAGTAGTAGTAGTAGTAGTAGTAGTATAGTAGTATTAGTAGTAATAGTAGTAGTAGTAGTAGTAGTAGTAGTAGTAGTAGTAGTAGTAGTAGTAGTAGTAGTAGTAGAAGCAGTAGTAGTAGTAGTAGCAGTAGTAGCAGTAGTAGTAGTAGTAGTAGTAGTAGTAGTAGTAGTAGTAGTAGTAGTAGTAGTAATAGGAGTAAGAATAGGAGTCGTAGTAG